CTTTCCCTTCATCTCCAAAAACAAAAATTTTGGAAAATTAATTTTATAACATTTTCTGAAATACCTAAAATAGCAACTCACAGAATCCATGTTCCATCATAATAAATTAAAATGCAACCTGTACTTACTTTACAAAGCACTTTACATATATTTTATACATGGAGGCATCACAAAAAAAATGATAATATTTTATACAGCTCTACTGTCACTTGGTTTGAGTGCCGAGTAAAACGGTCACACACCTTCCTTTTGCTCACTCAGCATCATGAGTCACTACTGAAATTCTGTGGCGCTGCCTTCGAATACTTACAAACCGGGTTTTATATAACCCGGCTCAGACTCTGAGGACGCGGAAGGCTTTATGTAAAACGTTGGCTTCGGATGCTGAGGTGAGGTCAGTAACAGACCCGTTACACACCAACAGACCACGGGGAAAAGAGATGTGGTTGTACGACTGTTGAGCAATGAGGCGTATTATGTCAATTAGTTACCATCTCTACAGTATCAGCAAGACAGGAAAGCGCTGGCATGTGGCGTCTCGACAGACAGCAGCGCCCTACAAGGCACGTGCGTCTCGTGCTCCTCATCACATTGTCATGTGCAGTGACCACACAAAACACCTATGTGACAAAAAAACCCATAAATACACTAAGAAATTCCTAATTTAGAATTTTCAATTATTCAGTTTTCTCATGTATCTTCATCCTTCTGAGTGAAAACCTGTCAACCACTTAGAATTGGGGATTTTTGGTACTCACGTCTATAAAAAGTATATGGCTTCCCTTTATAGCATTATTTCTAGGGGCACACGTTTCCACTGTCTTTAAATTGTTAGGTATATCCACAATATGAATTCTCCGAAATACAATATGGTTACATTACTTGCTAAAGACTGTTCCATATTCCTATTTTCACAAACTTCATTTCTTAGAGCAATTTCTTATGTACACTGAGCTGTAATTTTTTTGATGAAAAGATTACCTCAAATGCAACATTCATTTACTCACTGGACTAGGATTTAACCCCAGTGGCAATGTTTCTAACCGGTAATGAAATTTACACTCTAGAAGGCTTTCTATTATTCATAGTATTCCCCTTTGCTGTTAATTTTCTACTATATTAGGTTTCACTATAATTTTAAAGGTTTTTAAAACACACTGCATTTCATAGGCTCATTCCACTCTATGACTTCTGATCTATAAAACTGCTAAATCTGCTGAAACTTTCCCTATATAACCTCAGTTACAACTCCTACCTCCTCCGCCCCCCGCAGAGAGTACTCAGATATATAATGATATGTGCGCATTGTCTGATTTACCATAGTGCATTTCCTGAAGTACAGTAACGTCAGGTCTCTGTCAAAGACATATATTAATGTCATGTCTATGATTTCTTTCTGGAATGGGTTCTGTGATGGTTAATGAGCTGTGCCTTTTGGGAGAAGGCTTTCCCACAGTCATAGCATTGATACGGTTTCTCTCCGGTATGAATTCTCTGGTGATTAACCAGCTGTGACTTCTGGGAGAATGCCTTCCTACACTCAGTGCACCCGTAGGGTTTCTCTCCTGTGTGTGTCCTCTGATGTGGTATCAGGTGTGACTTCCGAGAGAAGGCTTTGCCACATTCATTGCATTCAAACGGTTTCTCTCCTGTATGTGTTCTGTGATGATTGAGGAGACTTGATTTCTCCCTGAAGGCCTTTTGACATTCACTGCATTCATACGGTTTTTCTCCTGTGTGAGTTCTCTGGTGTCGAATTAGCTCTGACTTCTCAAAGAAAGCTTTCTGACAAAGACTGCATTCATAGGGCTTCTCTCCTGTGTGAATTCTCTGGTGAGTATTAAGCTGCGATTTCTGGGCAAAGGCTTTCTCGCAGTCCCTGCATTCATAGGGCTTTTCTCCCGTGTGAGTTCTCCAATGAGTTGCGAGACTTGACTTCTCTCCAAAGGCTTTCCCACATTCGGTGCATTCATAGGGTTTCTCCCCTGTGTGCGTCCTCTGATGTGATATGAGATGTGACTTCTGACAAAAGGCTTTCCCACAGTCACTGCACATGTAGGGTTTTTCTCCTGTATGAATTCTCCGGTGATTAGTGAGGCTTAATTTTTCACTGAAAGCTTTCCCGCATTCA